TGGGTCAAACGGGTCAGTTCGCAACACGGCCCGGCACTTAGTGTTTTCTCACTTTTCCCTTGTGTTCCCCAGTCTACCTGAGACTGTCCTGTCAATCAGGAGTGTTCTGGGGAGAAAATTAACCCGGGAGGCGCCGATAAATTGGGCGAAAGACGGAGATTTTACAAGATTTTACCGCCCGAAACCACGACATTCCTGCGGGCCAGCCTCCGCGACGCGTAGCCTATGTGTGGCATGCGGGCGGGATCGCACGCTCAGCCCGAAACAGCTGGAGCGGCCACCCGCTTCCTGCAACCCCCCAGCTCAAAAACCCGATACCCTACAACAAGGACACGTCAAAACAATCCTTTTTATCACTTTTCACGTATAAAAATGGCCGGAATTGTGATAAAACTACATCTGGGAGGTAAAAATGCAGTCTTTGAGTAGCGAAAATTAGGTGCGCATGTAACGTCCGGCTTCCAAAACCGCACAAGTTCAACCCGTAACTTCTGACTCCCTTTCTTCCTGTGCGCCGTCACAAACGTTAAATTTAACATGATTAGCTTCCAAACCTAGCCCTGAATTTCTAGTATCCCATTTCTCACTCCCAAAAGAAGGTTTTACACGTATTCTTAGCGCCATCCATCGAAAATGTTGGAGTAAAAACCCGAAGAAAACACTCGGCACACGCGCGAGTGCGTGTCAACCTTGCACGGGACAGCTCGCCTGACGATATCTGCACAACTCATGCCCTGACAGATGACTAAATTTCCTCCTCTCTATCAACTCTTACGCAAACCACATCACCAAATCAAGAAATCTGACCCTTAGGTTACACATACCCTACTCAACACAGCAATCGGCGTGAGTTTTGATAGTTTTTTAAGTGGTAATGTCTGCAGAAAGACCGAGAAAGTTGCTATGTTTTTGAAACAGACGCGAGTGTTAGTTCACACGCGAAAACTGACCGACCACACTCCGCTACAACACCAACTTTCCGAACTCATAACTCGCTCCAAAAACCACAACAGCCCGCCAAATCTCTCACAGACCTAGCTACACTCTCTATCTATCTCACAAACGTACCTTCAGCGGCCTCCGTAGTGAATATCCACAGGAAAATAGTCCAAAGAGCGAACGCGGAAGTCTGCGCCGAGCGTCCGGCCGCCATGTTGTTACTGAATGTGATGGTATCAGTGACACGGCGGCTTTTATATGCCGGGATGACGGGCCATACCAACTCTGCAGAGGGGGGTTTCCAAACTTTTTTTTCTGCGTCCTCTTTCAATTTTTTACAAAATAATTAACTTCAAAAATGTTATTTTATACATTACAGAGTCAGGGATGTACAAAATTACACAATATGGAAATATCTGTCGTGAAATTATAGCGCATTTTCGACCAAACAGTTAACATACAAATGTATGTCTAAATTATTTTTTAAAAACATTATACGCTTCCTCTTCCTCTTAACTCCAAAAACTTTGTTTTATACATTCAAGAGTTAAGAAGGAGAATAACATAATATGGAAAAAGCTGTCTTGAAATTGTAGACTAAAATTGTTGACTAAACAGTTACATATGTCTAAATTATAAAGACACACAATCATTCACAGAAATTTATGCATATTTTGTTCGAGAAAGCTTTATCATATACTTGTGTAAATCAATTACAAATTACAGAAGCATATTTTTCTTGAAATTATAGCGTATTCTAAACTAAACAGTTACATATGTCTATTCTCTGGGCTAGATTATTCGAAAATGACAATGACACAAAAACTCAATCTTACACAGAAATATATGCATATTTTGTATCAGATAGCTTTTGTCAAATACTTGAGCAAATCAATTAACTGTTACAGTACAGAAGCATATTTTGTGTGAATTACAGCTAGATTTAGGAGCTTTCCAACGGGCGGTCTTCAGGCATATCTACTAATACAGTTTAAACGGGCAGGGCCCAGCGGCGTACAAGAGCGTTTCGAATGGATTCAGCCTCCACTAAGACAGGCTGTCATTCTTGCTACAGACGATGCCTTAAGTGGGAAAAACATCGTTTTCAAGCACAGACATGCCCAAGTTTGTCAACACCTGTGAAAATACCTTACAAAATTGCCTAGCCTGGAAGTGCAGACTGCTTGGGATAACAGAAGTCAGTTCATCTGTTTATTTGTATGTTTAGTAGCTTATGGATAGCCTCTATCAGGCTTTAGAAGCGGTCAGAAAGAGTTGAAATTGGCTAAATAGACAGACACAGACATGCCCAAGTTTGTCAACACTTGTGAAAATACCTTGCAAAATTGCTTAGCCTCGCACCGCAGACTGCTTGGGATAACAGAAGCCGGTCTATCTGTTTGTATGTCTAGTAGCTTATGGATAGCCTCTATCAGGCTTCAGAAGTGGCTGGAAAGACAAGACCTGTGAAAATACCTTACGAAATTGCCTAGCCTCGATCCGCAGACTGCTTGGGATAACAGAAGCCAGTCGATGTGTTTGTTTGTTTGTTTGTTTGTTTGTTTGTATGACTAGTAGCTTATGGATAGCCTCTACCAGGCTTCAGAAGCGGCTAACAGGAGTAGAAGTTGGCTGAATAGACAGATAACATGCCAGGGGAGTTGGTCCGCTAAAGGAGTACAGTTTGCCGCTCCTATTTGGCATATTTCTACTCTTTTTTCTTCTTCACTTTTTTCGAGAAGTCTGGTAGGTTCTCACGCGAAGTAGGGGCAGGTTTGGACTTGTACACAGGTGAACAATGTCGGTATTCTTTGATAATCCGAATCAAAAGAAAGCCAAGGGCTTGAAAAAAAGATGTGACAAAAACACTGTCACGGTCAAAACATACGATTTCCGTATAAAGGCAAACCTTTCCGTGTCGCCGGATATGATTGGCCGCGGGCGACGCGTGGAAGCAGAAGGAACCAATCAACGATGGCATCTTATGAGCAGTACCTGGGGCGAAAGAGATAGGGAAGGAAGTAGGCAAGGACGAAAGACTATATACGGTTCCGTACCTGTAATATGAAGCCGATATAAGAGCATAAGTTTATGATAAAACTAATCTTCTATCCTTTTTAATATAAAATGACTACATCTGGCTTTATTTTTCTCAATTAGCTAAATAGAGTAATATAATACACATACGTTTTTACATCTTGTCAAGACGATTATTCAAGCTTTTAAAGCTAAAAATAATACAGAATAAACATAGCCTCTACCAGGCTTCAGAAGGTGCTGGAAAGGGTAGAAATTGGCTAAATACTAATAGACAAATAACATGGCAGGGGAGGACAGTTTGCCGCTCTTTCCAGCCGCATCTGAAGCCTGGTAGAGGCTAGTAGTCCTCTTTTCAAACCGTTTATTCAAACTTTTAAAAAAGCGCACCCAAGCATCGCAACATTTCAGTCAAATTGCACGGGCACTTTGATACATCACCGACGGCAACAGATTAATGCTCTTCGCCTTGTCAAATCCACCCAGCTGATACGGCAGACAAGAATTAATGTCTGCGAACGTTTGATAAGAGTTACGGAGAAATGGAGAACGCAGAAGACGTCTTTCCCCCGAGGTCTGCTGTCAAAATTAATACCATTTCAACGTTATTGTTTTTATTTTGACGTATGGAACTTGACAAGTCTTCATATTGGTGATAATCCTTCGTTCGGCGTTACTGTGATGTCTAACAATAGAGACTGTGAGTTGTTTATGTAGGTCGGAGAATGAAAGTTGAAATACAGAGAGACCGACAGGTAAAGCGTTCGCAGTTAGCTATTGTGTTTTAATTAGTAAGGACTTGTTAACTAGCTACAGGTAATTAATTCGCAACCATAATGCTAAAGCCATAGAAAACAAGAATAGAAGGTATACAAGGTACAGCGACGATCAAAGATGGCGACTATTTTGTTTTCATTTGTGACCATCTTCGTTCTCTCCAAGTTGCAACATGTTGTTAGGGCGGATTCTATACTATATAATATATACAAAATTGGTTTCGGCACTTCCTGCCTTAGTAGGAAATCTAAACCGCCTTGTTCTTTCACACATTTGAGTATTCAAAGCCGTACGTTCCAACAACAAAAACAAGAGACACGGTTAATTTTCCTCAAGTGATATTCAATCCTTGGTCACGCTTGTGGCAAAATTGGCCGAGGCCAACAGAGGTCATGTCATGTCAGAGTTCTGTCTGGAGTAGCCTGACCGTTTAGCTGTAGTACAAAATAAACCGAACGCGGTAAACTCTTCGCTGCACCCGTCCCTAGCCTCTACCAGGCTTCTGAAGCGGCTGGAAAGAGACGAGGGGAGTACAGTTTGCCTCTCTGAAGCGGACCAACTCTAGCCTCTACAAGGCTTCGGGAGGCGGTTGGAAAGACTAAAAATTGGCAAAATAGAGATATGGGGAGTTGGTCCACTGGAGAGTGCAGTTTGCCGCACACTGGCATGTTATCTTTCTATAATCTATTTCGCAAATTTCTACTTTTTCCAGCCACCTCCCGAAGCCTGGTAGAGGCTACGGACCAACTCCCCTGGCGTGTTATCTCCTTCAGATTTGGCCAATGCATTTCTACTCTTTCCAGCCGCTTCGCGAATCCCGTTCCAGGTAAAACCAGGGAGGTTAACGTTGTAGATAATTTCCTTGGTTTAAAACTCCTGACTACACCAATCCCCACAGACCCGCCCCCACGATGTTATTTTTCCAGCCGCACGCGTGCCTTGATTCGGTATGGTGGGCCGGCGGCCGTCCCGACACGCACCGCGCCGGTTACCATGGTGATGCCATGTTCCTGTCGTCTGACAAACGGTCCGACAAACCAGATGAGTTTTGCTTCCCTGATTCTTCGTGATTTACAGCTGTAGGTTGTAGTCAACCGTTAGAGAATTTAAATGTCAAATTTCAGCCATTTTTACCATTATTATGTACAGTAAAAAATAAAAGGGCGCTCGAAAAATTAAATAAGCACAGTGTGATATCAAACCTAATATTAGAACGTATTAACCAATGAGGTTTTAAAATCTACCAGGTTATTATATAGTTATAAAGAATGAAAGAAATAACTCGATGTAATGCAGATGTGAAACAATGCGTGGTTCATATTTCTTACTGTCAAAGGATAATAAATGACATCGTCTTTATCAAACAAAACTGAAATAAAACTGAACAACCCAGTAAAAAAAAAACTAACGTTACAAATACACCAAGATGAAGTGTCGAGAACTTTCGGGGGACGCCGGAAAATAACGATTTGTAGTACAGTAATTTTACCCTGGGTTATTTTGATAAAACACCCCGGATGGACCCACCCACTGTGCTGTATACTTAATTACATTCCTAATCACATGACGCAAAAGATAAAGTGAAGTGATAGTGTCAATGACCTGATTAACCACGGGAATGGCTTCATTTCTCGTCTAATCTCCAAGCAGATATTTGGATTTTCTAGACGTCCGTTTGCTTAAAATTGTTTGTCAACCGAGGTTTAAAATGACTTTGGCCTTCTGAACGTTGAGAAATACTTTGTTTTCACAAAAAAAGAGGCAGTTATGATCTCCATACGTCGCCAGACATCTGCTTGGAGATTATGCGTTCACCCTTTCACATGAAGGAAACAGACGTGCAATAAAATGAGCGCAGCGCAATTCCAGGTCCTGCGACAGTCTGCAAAATTGCAGCGAGGATGGCACTGAAGTAAGAGACAACGAGAGAAACTCTCCATGATAATTGTCCGGAATTTCTAATTCTGTTACAATCTTTTTTTCAATTTCCGACCCATAGCCAAAAAAAAGAAACGTAGAAAAGCAGAAGTTAAAAACACCAACTCTTGACCAAAAGAACATTATAGCCCTACCCTTTCCCCCACTTACTATAATTTCTGAGTCATCCCTTATATGTTTTCTAGTAGGTGTAACTCACAATTTCAATGACACATGTGTCACTACTGCTAACGTTAAGGATGTTAAGAAATAAATGCAGAAAATCAGAAGTTGACACGAACTCTTGAAGAAAAGAAAATTATAGTATTTATACCCCTACTCTTTCCCCTATGATCATTTCTGATTCATATCCCTATTATGTTTTCTCGTAGGTGTAACTTCAATGACTGTCGTGTGTCTCTGTCTCTGGTTTGTAGAAGAGCAAAAGTAGAAACCAATGACATCATATAACGTGACGTCTTGGT